GAGATCTGTTAGGATATGTATGATTCCAAGATTCATGTAATCAGTTATTACTTTCTGGTTATCTCTTAGATTTAACCGACTTGTTACCCTGCTCTCCGGACTATATAAGGCGGGTAGGGACCCCTCCAAACTCACACAATATCATACGATAGCTAATACAAACCAACAGACCACAGGAGTAGGGTATTACGTCATACTGACGGCCTGAACCTGTCTAACTCGTGTGTCTCTATTGCCTTCTTGTTCTTGATCTCACGCTCCTCTCCCGATCAATCTACCTTCGTGGGATACCCCTCGGAGGATTGCCGATGATATTCTGTCGACACCTGCCCTACAATCGCTCGCAAGGGGCTATAATCAAATGGTTAGACTGGCTATAATTGGAGGTTCCAATATTTTTTTAAGTACTCCTTCCATCTCAAAATAAATACACATACACATCTCGTATTTTAATTCAATTCTGAAATATTAGATGTGCACTTATTTTGGAGGCAGAGGGAGTACGTTCGGACTATAAGCTCTTTTGGTGTTGATTTTTTTTTGGGAAATGGATACAATATTGTTGTCCCCATGCATAATACTCGCTCGTTTTCTGAAAAACATATATGACACTATTGACCCTTTTTCCTTACTTTGGTCAAATAATATGTATTAGAATTCTTATAGCCACTTAAAGTGAGAAGATTACCACTGTTGTAAGAAACACTGCAAATTTAACATGCTGGAAATTCCCTTCTTCGAATTTGGAAGGGAGATGCAAAAAGAAACCTCCCTTTGCAGAAATTTCCAAAAAGTGCACAACAAATCAACAATAATCAATCACTACACGGGCAAGACGACGCATAGCATTTTGTGCAACACCAAACGAGATTGGTCCTTTATGGATTGATTGACGAAATCGATGGGGTACACGAGCGATCTGTTATTGTTGAACAACAACCCGAACTGTCGCTGCGTCTCGTAAGCTTCTGGTCAACGTTGAACATGGCGAATATGTAGGCCTCTATGCCCCCCAGGTATACCGCCAAACGGGCCGCCCAGGCACGGCACGGCACGACACGGTGGGGCACGGCACGACGGGGCACGGCGGCGCTGCCGTGTTGTGCCACCATGCCGGCATCCCAGCCCAGGCACGGCCCAATGGCAACTCAGCCATGCCATGCCGTGCTGATGGGCATGATGGCCCGCCGAGGTCGTGCCGGCCCGTCGCCATGGCCGTCGTTGAGCCGCACTCGCGTCGGACGCGCCACCGTCGCAGATGTGTCTCCACCGGTCGAGCTCGCCCCTGCCGCGTGCCGCCGCCATGCCGCTGCGCCCTAGCTGAGCACCGGCGCCGCGAAGACACACCCCTGGCCGCGCCACCGCAAAGAGGTCGTCGCGCCACCGCACAGAGGTCGCCGCGCCGTCGAGCAGACGGGAAGGACGGGAGCACGGACGGAGGAGCCGCCATGGGGAGCCGCAGTGGGGAGCTTGGGAGGACCGAAGGAGGAGCTGGGCGGGACTGTAGGGACGGGAGGAGTCGGACACGGGGAGGTGGGCGCGACTGCGCGTGGAGGACGAGAGAGATTGAGAGATGACGGCTATTGGGAGGAATCCTTGGGGGAGTTAGGGTTTAGTGCTATATACTCTTATCCAACGGCTATGGAATCCTCTGAAAGCATCTGATGGCTAGAATTGATCGGGCCGCGTCGTGCTGGCCCATTATCCGTGTCGTGCCTGGGCCGGCACTATGGGCCAACATGGCGGCCCAGGCACGGCACTACGACCGGAGCCGGGCACGGGCCGACATGCCAGGCATGGGCACGATGGGAGCCGGGCCGGGCCGTGCCTGGGCTGTGCTTCTTAGTGCCGTGCCTGGGCCGGCCCATCGTGCCTAGGCCATATGGCCAAGTATACCCCCGGGGCGCTTCGGCGTGCCCTGTGCCCCTATCCGATGTGGTTGACCAGGTTCTGGTTGTAGGTCTACGAGTTGCTCGCGTTGGCCGCATGGCTCCCGGCCGATAGCCTCCCGCTCTCCGACACGACAACGGTGACATTCCGGGCTCCGGCGTTCTCCAGTGCCGAGTAGAAGCTGTCGACCATCGCATCGAACAGGTTGTGGTAGTTGTAACCATTGTCGATGTCGTGCACCACCGTGTCTGGGGACGTGACGAGGAGCGCGTAGTTGATGTCAATGTCTCTCTCGTAGCTCATGTAGGAGTAGTAAGGGTACACACGTTGGCGCGCCGGTGCTCTGCAGGTACTATGCGACGTTTGCCATGTAGCCCTGAGAGAAGCTGCCCGCAAAGGGCGGCAAGTTGCTACCGAGCACGCCCATCTGCACTGTCGCGGACACCTTGATGATGCCGTCCACGGAGAGCGCTCTGTCGAGGTTGCGCATGGCGGACATGATGCTTTCCGTGTCCTCCCCGGCCACCTTGTTCCCAACGGCAATGTAGCAGAACTAGACCGTCGAGAAGGCTAGGACGTAGCTCTGGACCAGGCGGCGGTGGCCAAGGGGTGCGAAGCGAGAAGGCGGCGACGTCTGTGTTGGGGACGCCCACGGTCAGTGGCGGAACTAAGGGGGGCTAGCAGGGGGCCCTGCCCCGCCCCCCAAGCTCAGCGACAAACTTTTAGCACTTCTTAAATATTTTAATCTACATAACAATAAAATCGTCACTTCACTGTTATTTCTGATGTAATATTGTAATTTTTAATTTTGTTATGAATACTAACTATATGTTTATAAGTATTGGAAAAACTTTTGAGATATATACTTGATGTATATATTTATCACACTTATCAGTGTCATAATATTTGTTTCGCCCCTTAATCAAAGGTTCTGGGTCCGCCTCAGCCCACGGTGACGGCGATGTCCGAGCCGCTCAGTGCCTGCAGCCATCTGAGGTACGGACCTGACGGAATGGTGGCAAGTGCTCCGAGAACCAATGCGAGTGCAACCATGGGAAGGACAGCTTGCTTTGTCATCTTCGGTTGCAGCTAGCATTCTAGCAAGAAAGCCAGATTGCTCAGGCTGAATCCCCGCAGCATATTGAGCAGAAGTTGTTCCATAGGACGAGATTTTGTTGCCACTGAATATAAGCTGAAACTACTTTTTCACGGGTTAAGCCGTGGCAGATACGGCTACACTTTGCATACAATTCACGGAAGCGTCCGTCCGTCAATATTTGTAACGAAGTTCCAAGCACGTCACGGGATCCCAGGTCCATTTCCGGTCAATTTTCTGATTTTCGCCGCTACCCACCGAGCGTTGCTGACCTGACTGGGCTGGGCTGAGTGGGCCAGGAAGCCGCGTGCCGTGAAGACAGCCTTTCAAATGTTGCTAATATTTTTTTTATAAATTTAATTAAAATTTAAAAAAAAATTGACCAGCACAAAGGTTTTGTTTAGATTGCAAATTTTTGCAACCTGGACACTGTAGCACGTTTCGTCTGTATTTGACAAACTTTGTTCGATCATGGACTAACTAGGCTCAAAAAATCATTCTCGTGATTTACAACCAAACTGTGTAATTAGTTATTTTTTTTACCTACATTTAACGCTCCATGCATGCGTCTAAAAATTGATGTGACGGAGAGAGAGTGCGAAAAAACTTGAATTTAGAGGCAATCAAAACAAGGCCAAATACGATATTTCTTTCTGTGCCTGGACGGAGGAGTACGAAACAAAGTACAAAACATGCTGTCGTGTGACTGTGGGAGACGTAGGACCATTGGATCAGAAACCTTCAGATAATGATGTGGGGTTCAGAGTTCAGATAACTGAAGCTGCAGTGAAGTCTGCAGCTGGGAGTTAATGCTTCAAACTCAACGGTTGTGTATGAAGATAACCTAAAAATTCGATGTGCGCCGTGCTGCAACATCGATAGACCATTTCGAAGTTAGTCTTCAGAGTGAAAATGAATGATAACTCAGCGTTAGCTTAGTAAATCCTGAAAGTTTCAAATAACCTCTTCCGTCAGAGAGTCTGCAAAAAAGCTTTCAAGATGGAGCCCGCATGATACTAAGAGGTTGCACCATTTGCACTGGTTAAAAGGTAAACATGACCAGGGCCTTGTTTAGATTGGGATTAGGAATCAGTATTTGGCACTGTAGCACTTTCGTTTGTATTTGACAATTATTGTCCAATCATGGCCTAACTAGGCTCAAAAGATTCGTCTCGTAATTTACAATCAAACTATATAATTAGTTATTTTTTTATCTATATTTAATACTCTATATACGTGTTCAAAGATTTGATGTGATGAAGAAAAAGTGAAAAAACTTGTAATCTAAACAAGGCCCAGCATAAAAAATGACATCCAAGGTCCATTACAAGAGGATGATTTTCAGTGATCTGAAAAGCGATCTTCATGTTATCTTTTGAGTCAAGAACATAAATGCTGTACGGCCAAAACAATTTGAGTCAAGAACATAAATGCTGTAAGGTCCACTAGAGTAAGTGCCCAGATTATCACAAATCAATTTGGGTCAAGAACATAAATGCTGTACGGCCAAAACACGGCAAAAAGAAGCAGTTAGCAGTTGGAAATAAATGGGTCAGGAATAATTTCTGTATTCTCGAGCTTTCTCATCACTGGGATACAAAAATTGTTGTACAGCAGAAGTATCACACCAAATCCAATTCTTTTGATGAGCAGTACCCTTCCTCATTATATTAGTCCCCGGACTAGAAGTTGCAGTTGCAACACACCAGTCCTAACGCATCATGTATCATGCAATGTAATGTAACACGTTGCAATCCAAGAAGAAATTTTGGAATTCAAATAGTGCAAAATTATATTAACATCGAGTAATTCTTTGAGATGGTAAAGTTTCATGGGTTCATTCTTTTTTTTTCTCCCTGCATTCGTCTTTACAAATTACAACAGCAGGAAGTTTCATACAACAGGTACGTCATCACTACACGAGCAGGACAAAGAGCATTTTTGTCGAGCACCGAACGATGGAGATACCAAACCTGCATGCCCACGCGTGGGCCGGAGGATCGCGGCGTCAGACTTAGCTCATCGGGACGGGGATGGCGACAGCGGCGCGGCAGACCGGGCAGGCGGGCGTCCTGGCGAGCCACCGGTCGACGCAGGCGGCGTGGAACGCGTGCGTGCAGGCCGGCATCGCGCGCCACCGCTCCCCGGCGCGCGCGGCCTCGAGGCACACGGCGCACGAGTAGGAGGAGGAGGCGGAGGCGGACTCGTCGCCGGCGCCGGCGCTGCCGCCGGGGAAGGCGAAGCTTGGGAGGCGGCCGATGTCGGCGGGCGAGAGCCCCGCGCGGAGAGGCGGAGGCGAAGGGGAAGAAGGGTCGAGCGACGGGACGCGGTAGCGGCTGCCGCGGTGGTGGCGGAAGGCGCGCGCGGCGAGGACGAGGACGAGGAGGAGCAAGGCGGACGCGGCGGCGAAGAGGACGAAGATCGCGAGCGCGGCCGCCATCACGGCCGCCTGCACGGCGAGCGACAGGAGGCGCGCGCCAGCGCACTGGTGCTTGGCTTCTCTTCCCGGTCCCGGAGCGAGCTCATCGGGCACGGCGGCGGCGCCGGCTGGAGCGGGCGGGGCCATTTGGATTCGGATGAGGCGGGCCGGCGGTTCCTTGGCGTGGCTCGGGCGCTCGGTGGTGCGGGGTGGAACGGAATATTCAGCGGGGATCTGTGGAGAGACGGGAATTGGAAGGGCTCGGGGCTCTCCCCAATCTTGAGCTTTGGCCGCGTTCGGTACGTTGGCGGGTTGCCGTGAGCTCGACGGTTACGTAAAGGAACGAATGGATATTATTATATTATATATTAATATTATTATTAGAAGCAGACAAACAGCCTGTTCGGGAGGCCGTATTGTATCGTGGATTATTTACTGCTGGCTGGTTTGGTGTGAGAGAAAAACACTGTTCCCGGCTGAAAATTTACGATCGTTTACGAGCAAGCGAACAGAACGAAAGTAAAGTCGCATTCGTTTTCCTCCGGATTTGACACCGGATAGAGGGTCGAATCATCTGCGGTTGATGCTGATGCAAGGAGCCGTTGGGATGGGACGCCCTGACCTCATGTTTCTAGAAGGCGGAGGAGGAGAAGACCGTGAGTCCTGACGAGTTGTCATGCTCGGAGTCGGCCACTGAACTCTTAAATAATCATGTCTTACTTGTCCTCGCTAGCTAGCACATGAACATGAGCTTGGTCGGACGGAAGGCGAGTCTAGTAACCTCTACCTCTACCTCTCTCTGTCTCTCACGTGTGATCAATCTCGACCTCGCTACGATGTACGCGTCTGATACATTGCACACACATTGATCAGAGGAAGAGAGCATGTGTGTTCATGGGCAGACGAGGATGCTCTTGTTTTGTCGTAGTTAGTTTAGTTTCACATCATTCAGGAGCCGAACTCCTGGTTGGGTTGCTGTGTGCGTTTCCTTTTACGAACCTAGCCATATGAACTGGTCGGCGGTGGTGGTTGCTTTGTTCTACTCGGCTTTATCGAGCAGCAGAGCAGCAACCGATGGCGAGGCATAACCTAAGCGAATGTGGTCGTCCCTCTACATGGGAAGATATGACACGGAGGCTGCCGTCTTTGTGTTCTATACGCAACTCCATGGCGACAAAGATCGTGTGGCCACAATAGCGTTGCACAGTATTCAAGATTGATCACATAGAAATTGTCGAGTGTATCTTTCCTCTCTCATTTTGCTAATATTGAAATGGAATTTCTTCGTCCAATCTTTTGATTTTTTTTTCATGAGTTAGAACAACTAGCATACAACGAAAATCCAATTCCAAGGTGTAATAGCTAGGGGCAGAGCACTCAGTTACAGAGACCATCCTCTCTTGATACTTGGGTCAAAGCTCCGGCACTGATAATAACATACATGATCAAATTTATAAACTTGTTGGTCTATAAAGATTTGAGTTAAGACAAAATTTAGAATCATTATATTTAATTTATGGACGAAGAGATTATATGCGATCATGCGATTGTGCCTACATCACTTTAGATACCTCATCCGATTATAAATGTAATTAAGTCCGTAGCTGTTATGGAGCTATATTTAATAATTGGCAATGTGACCCACGTTACTCACTCCGCGATAATCGTATCGTTGTACGTAGTATGTTATATATGTAACTTAGCTCGCACCCTTGTCATCGGTTTGTTTCACTTTCACCCATTAGCAATATGCGTGCTATGCCTTTCTTTATTCGCTACTCACGTCCTGTTTATTTGGCTGATAAGCTATGACTAAAAGTACCGTTGACTAATTTATTGTAAGAAAAAAATATTGTTCATTAGTTGAAAAAGTCTGACTTTTTATGAGATATATATATATATATGCAAATCTTGATACAGCGGCTCACATCACATCCCGTTGCACAATTCACTCTACAGCTGTAGAATGGCTCCGTCGGCGGCTTCCAACTTCCAAGAGAAGACGAAAACTATCTCCTACCTAGTGCTATATCCATGCCCTTTTTTTTTGGCACGCGAACCACGAGGACGGACGACGGGGACAGGTCGGCCCCGCCCCGCTGCGCGCTCGTAGTGTAGAACGTTTCCTGCGTCTGGGACTGGGCGTGCGTGCGCCGCGCCGCCGCCGGGACCCAGATGTTGGTGGTGGTGGTCGCTGTGGCCGGCGGCGAGTCGTGTCATGTCTCCGCTGCATTGCATTTGCATGCACCGCACAGGTGCATGCCCTGTGCGGTGCTGTGTGCCCACAGGTGAGGCCACAGCGGTCCTGCAGGCTTGTGAACGAATGAAGGTCCGGTGCTGAGTGAGAGAATGGCTCTGGCACGCAGCATGCTTGTTCCCCACAGCCACAGGCTACAGAAACCGAACGCGGGGCAGGGAGCACCGGAGCAAGGCCCCGCGGCCGCCGCGCACGCCGATGGAGCCGCCGACAGCAAAAACAACATGAGGAGGAAGCCTTGTTTAGTTCCTCCGTCCAAACTCTACGCTCTATCGTATCGAATGTTTAAAGACATGTATAGAGTATTAAAAATAAACTAAAAAAATAACTAATTATACAGATTACGACTACTTTGCGAGGTGAATCTTTTAAGCCTAATTAGTTCATAATTTGACAATAAAGTGCTACAGTAACACATGCGCTAATGACGGATTAATTAGGCTTAATAAATTCGCCTCACGGTTTACTAACGAATTCTATAATTTGTTTTTTTTATTAGTATCCGAACATCCTATACGACACCCTATATAACATCAGATGTGTCACCCTAAAACTTTACACCTGAATCAGACTCCACCGAACTACAGCGTACTAGTACTCTAGTACAGATGAAACGGTCAAGTCAAACTTGCCGCTTTCCTTTGTTTTTCTTTTTGTACTGCTCCTCATTTGGATCAAAATTTGAAAGACGCTTCGTAGGATCTTGTAGTTGAAGTGGATCTATAAAATTCTAAGCAATGAATCCCGTCTGGTCTCTGGAGTACGGGGGATTTTGGGGGAACTTCCTGTCAGCTTAAACGATTAGTGGACGCTTTTCAAATGTCTCGATTAGTAATAAGTACTATTGCCTTCTCAATAAGCTCTAGATGTATACAGTGTTAAAAAGAGGGAACATACGTGTCAAAATCGTGAGATTCGGTTGAAATAATCGAAACCGTCCTTAATAATGTACAGATGCAAATCCCTTTCTCCTGTTCTGTCGTTGTATTGAAAGCTTCAAACACCCTGTTCGCTTGAAGATAGGGACGCTTCAACCGTCCTTAATAATGTACAGATGCAAATCGCCTTCGTCTGGAAACGTGTCATCTAACTTGTTGGTGGACTTAATTTAAGATAGGGACGCTTGAAACCAGTGAAGGTAAATGTGCATGTTTTGTTGGTAATTCATGTAAATTGAAGATTTCTATATTCGTCAACGTTTTGGTCAATGCCTGAGTACCTTTTGGAACACCATATCTCCTACGACTAAAAATAATAAAGCGTGGATTTTTTTTTTTTTGTGCGATATTTGTTTTGGTCCGTCTGCCCACTTGCGATCCCCGCCTCCCGTCCACGCGCAAGTCACAAGCCAATTATAAACACCACAAGTATACTCCCTCTTCTTTGTTCTATTATTTTTTTCTTTCTAATTGTATTTTTTTAATCATGTATGTTTCTTGCTGTTCATGCGGACTACAATTATCCAAACAGAAGCATCTGCTTATAGGCTTGATTTGGAAGACAACATGTATATATCTTGTCAGAAATAAGAATTACCTGTTTATGTGTTTGAGCTGTGGTCTTTTGAATGTGAGATATGCTATCTGGAAACCATTTTCTTACCCCCTATAAGCTGTCATATTGTTTATAATTGGCTTATTATCTATCCTTTCTGTGAAGTATGAACCAATCCATTCTCCATTGTGGACTTTGTGAGTAGCGTGATCTATCCTTTCTCTGAAGTATGAACCAGTCCGTTCTCCATTGTGGACTTTGTGAGTAGCGTGACTGTGTGAGCTCAAGTTGACTCCCACGAGGCCTCCCCGCCCTCCCACGAACGCCACACGCTGCCGATGACGCACGCGGAACGCGCCGCCGCCGATGATGCCGACGAACCGCGGGACGCGTCACCGACTCCACGACCTGCCGCGTTGCGCCGCCGCCGAACCACGGGATGGCCGCTGCCTCGACGCCGCTGGACGCGCCACTGCCTCCACGATCTGCCCCACTTCCGTCACCGCCAGAACGACCCTGCCCCGTCAAACCAGGCGCCCAAGTCTCCGCCGTCTCTGCTTCGCGCCACCGCCACCGGATGCCAGCCGCTCACCGGCTAGGAGCCCCCAACAGGTATGTCCTTCATTGGATCCACGCCTGCAGTTCTGTGTGCTCTTATGTCTACTAACTTTGATCCCTTTCAAAGTCACTAGAACCTAGGTTCGCTGTTGTATACTACTATGATTTGGTTTGTACTTTTGAGTGCCAAATCACATGTGCATATGTTATCTATTGTACTAATCCTGAATACGTTTAGAAAAGTGATTCTACAGTTTTTCATGTGCTGCGTGGATTACATTTATTCCTTAACAAATCTCACAAGCCCTCCTTTCGTAATCTAGAACTGACAATTGTTGTTTTACTCAGTAAAACTTAGTTAGTATAAAAGAATAGCCTACTAGCACTCTCCTGTATTTCAGAGGTACAATAAACTGAGTGAGCTGTAAGTGCCCAATGTAGCTTTTCTATCCACATCCAGCTCACCATGTGCATCAAGCAATGTAGGTAATTTCTCCAGCGAATCCATCTTGAAGGAACTTCTACAAATAATAGTGATTATTCTTATTTGTATGGTATCTTCTCTGTGGCAAATTGCAGGCAAAGCTGCTCGTCACACTCACGCTGTCGAGCTCGATCCGCCCTGATCCGCGGCCGTTTGCATGTAAATTATGTGACTGGTGGAAACGATATTATTCCACTCAATAAAAATTGAAAATAGGAGGTTTGTACATTCTATTTCTTACCTAAGAAATATGAATTTTCTCTATCTAATCTCTTACCCAGTATCGATGTTTCAAAATGTGCATTGCTTCATGTGTCTAACCAATGATAATGTCCTTTAGAGAAGATTTAGGAT